ACTTTAAGAAGCCATTCGTGAGATACACTGTCGAAGGCTTTTTGATAGGCAATCCATGCCATACTCAGGTTTTTTGAGCTTGATGTGCATCCTCCAATATGGCCTTATTAACCATTAGACGGTCTTTACATCCCCTGGCACCACGGCGACATCCCCTTTGCTTTACGGCCATTATGTTATTCTTATCGCAATGGCTATACAATACGTTGGCCAATATGGAAGTAAGTAATTTGTACATACTAGGTAAACATGCTATTGGTCTCCAGTTCTTTGGGTTTTCGGTGTTTTCATTTTTGGATATTTAACTTGTCCTGTAACGAACCACTCTTCCATTATTTCTGTACCTGAAACTATCTTAGTGAATAATGAAGCTATGTATTTATGAACACTGGTTAGGTATTTTAAATAATAATTTTTTATTTTATCCATTACAGGTGATTTCCAATTTAACAGTTTTCTGATAGCAAATTTTACTTGTCTTCTGTTATCTTCTGTTATCTCTTGTGTATCTTCTCTGTGTATTTCACTTGACAGCATTTCTACTTCTTTTATCCAATTAGCATCCAAATTGTACTGCGTTTGGTTTGATAAAATTGAGTTCGAAAATACTTCCACTTCTTCTTTATTCGGTATTTTGATGTCTTTGTTATTACTACATCCTAAACTTCTGTAGAGTCTATGCTCGTTTTCATTAAATAATCTATTCTGAGCTTTTCTCGTGTTAATGTCTTCGTATCTCTTTATTCTACCTGCTAAAGCTTTAACTTTTTGCCTAATAGTCGTTATATTATTGTGATCATTATCATTCCGAATGCTGTATTTGGTATATAATTTTTCTTTTATTTTCGTCATCCTTCGCATTTTGATTCACTTTTCAATTTCTATTAATTGTCCTTGTTCCTTCCTAAATATATCTATTTTAGTTTGTATTCTTTTTTTCCATGGTGGCTCACATTTTGGTTTTATAATATTATTAGTGATATAAGGTTTTTGATTGTTGTTTAATATAAGAGTTTTAGCCGCGGCGTATATTATATTATTTATCTCGCGCAAACTATTATTAGTAATTAAAAGATTAGGTAAATAATTATTTAATGTGTGTAGATTTTCTAAGAAACGCCTATTGATTTTAGCTTTAGGTAGAAATACTCGATCTTCAAGTCTGGTTTCATTAGTTTCCGCTAATATTTGAAGGAAGTGCAAGATTAATGGATCTTAATCATCATTTACCACAATATTACTTGTCATCTGATCTATTGTTTCAGCTTGTTCAATGGTATGTTGTAAATTTTGTTCCGTAATGTGTGTGAGTGTAGGTTGTGTATCTTGTACTCCAATGTCGTTTGAATTTTAGTTATCTACAGGTGTGTTTTTGTATTCTGTTTAGTAATTCTTTTGATAGTACATTTTGCTTAATGATCCTTCGTGCTTGATTTGGTAAAGTGTTTCCGTTAAACTTATGAATTTTAGGGTTATTCGGGTTTCTTTCTGTGAAAAGTTTCTGTAACCTGCCTATGTATCCTGGTCCAATTGATCTTGCTTTAAAGTAACAAAACATTAATTCTTGAAGTTCTTCTGTTGACCACTTTCTTCTTCTATCATCATGTTCTGTATTATTTGTGGTCATTGAAGATGAGCCGGCAAAGCTTGTAGGTAAATCCGTACTCTGCAAAGCATCACCCATACCCATCCCCTCCCGTTGATGGACTGTAATATTTTCGGGTTCCCCGACTCTCGCCCGCCTGCTCAGCAGAGAGCCGCTGACGGCCCGTACGCTGTCACGTCCAGCGTCAGCTCCAGACGTGCCCCGACGCTCACCCTCGGGTAGCGGCCCTATAATAGTACTACGTAATTGTCTCTCCATCATTGAAGGTATCTAGAGCTCCGTTGGTCATTGGTTAAGTTAATTAAAAGTCCAATGTACGGCCCTCACGTGGCATAGATGGTCCTGCGCGGACGTGGAGTTAGATTTGCGAGGGTCCATATTATATATTATATTATATTATGTTGTAATATATGTTATATTGATATATTATACTATATTTTCGAAAGCAATTAATATAATATTATATATTATAGGATACATACGTAATATAACATAAATACTCATCAAGTCTTCTATTTGGTATAATCCTGATTCCTGACACACCTCACTAGCACACTTCACGTCCATATAACTACACATAGGTACATGTATGTCAATTAACAGCTCATCCTAATTTGGCCAATCTTGTCGATAAACCTCCAATTTTGTCGATAAACTTCCATTTGCGTCTTGCGTATCTTGTTGACATAATGAAGTCTAAAAAGACCTGCGCCAAACTCGTAATCAGCTGCAAGGGTTTGAAAGGGAAAACTAGTACATCATCCTGTAAAAAGTAACGTAATGATGGAGTATCATTATATATTTGTTTCGAACGCCGAGCTAAGCTCAATCGCGCAGATATTTATTATAAAATCGCTCTAGCATAAACTTAATTGACACTCGCTGTCTTGATATTTCGATTAGAGTTAGCAAGGGGCTAATAAAGAAAATTTCTCAATGATATTATCTCGGTGTAAAGTGGTCTCGGACGGTTCAACACTATCTCGTAGTAATTGGCTAATTTTGTTACAACGGTCGCTGCTGATGTCCCTTATTTATATCCTTATTGATTCCTAGGTAAGCGACAGAAAGTGACAAACCGTTCGCCGGATCGACTGGATATATTTTTTTAAATATTCATAAATTATTTTATGGTCTTATTTTCTATAACCGCCTTTGACGTTTTGCAAAACAACAACAAACAGCCCATGGACGCTTGTAGCCAACTTCAAGCAGAGAAGCTTACAGATGCGTTGTTAATTCTAGGATGATGGAATGCTACGTTTTCAGTAAAAAGGGTCTCCGGTACTCTACACTCCCCATACATAACAGCAACAATAAGCTGCTATTTTACGTTTGTATTCAGTACGACCATGTTCCTTCTACGATCAAATCATCCGATACGTGCTACCACCATAATATAGCTGCGGCGTGGCTCTACCTCTTTAAAAATATGTAAATATGTATAAGTATATCTACCAAAGTTTCGATAATATCTATCTTATTCTTTTAATAATGGTAATGCTCAATTTTTGAATGAATTTAATCGCAATTATAGTATAAATAATACACAAGAGAACTCACATAAGCTTGGAAAAGTACTTATAAGACTGCTGAGCTACTTTTCGAATCAGTTGTCCCACCGTCCGTCGATTAATAGCAGTGTTAAATACCTGTATCCCTGTTTGAAAACTATAACACGGACTGTAAGATATTCCATTTCAGTCCTCCGGTGTGACAACCTCAAAGGTTGCTGTGAGTGGTTATTCCTTTGTCGTGACAACTTCAAAGGTAGCCGTGCGCGAAAAGTTTTAAAATACATAGTTTTGGTTATTATGATTGTATCTCATATTTACGTTAGTCATCCATTAAACGTTTAAATTCATTTCCATACGAGTATGCATTTTATTTTAAAAGTTGGTATTAGTTTATAAACTTGATATTAAGTGCTAGTGGTCGTAAACTTTTTACATGACAGAGCTATGTTGCAGCTATATTATGGGTGTAGCGGAATTGGGTTGATTCGACCGGAAAGAACCACGGTGTCACGGAATACCAGTGTAAAATAGCAGCTTAATGCTGCTGTGTTTTTCATACTTATTCTATAACAAGCGAAAAGTTAAGTATAAATTACCGGTTGTGATGCGTGTGGGAGTCTTCCTGACTGCTGCTGCGCTTCCTCTTGCGTTGGAAGCACCAGTCCTGGCCCATCGCATCACAGCCGGCGTTCCGTGAGCCGCCTCCGCCCAGGGCGCGTCCCTCTCTCACACCGTCACCATTGTACAAACGTTAACCAAGAAAAATCGCATTTAGCATTGTCTTATTGCGCGATCCATTCGAAAGCGTAAAAAATCTTTCAGGAAATACTTATTTAATTTCTTTATTTGTGTTATTTAAAGCTCTTTATCCTGTTTTCATTTATTTATTTAGTAAAACGAAATAAAAGCCGTTGTTGATTTAAATGTTAACACTACATCATATAAACACCATGTAGGGGCGGTGTATGAATGTCTGTATCATCTCGTGGGCGCCTTAAGAGGCGACAGGGACAAACAAACCAAGAGATGGGCAGCAGCGTCTTTCTAATAACAATTAAAAATAAAAATAAAATCTGAAGTTGCGAGCCCAATTGCCAAGCGTGGCAACTCTGCCAAATGTCCTCTCTATGAGGGATACCCATGTTTAGCAGTCGCTTTCTAAAAGGCTGTAATGGCAACTACATATATCGATTTTCCAGCCGAACTTCCGTTGTTATTTTCAGTACCAAGTTGAAAAATAGTACCTTGAATTGAATTAGTTTTAAAATGTTGAAGAAAATAATAAATAAATACTTCTTTTTACTTTTTGTTTATTTCCTAAATATTATATGTTACATTGTGTGATGCGACTATACTAAAAATACTTCTTTGTTGCTACTAAAATAGATTGACGGTGACACCCATACCTTTAACACTTATGTAATGTGCATATTATGTATCTGTGAAAGTGCTATAAGTATACTTTCCATGCATAAAAATTTAGAAGTAAATGATTGGAACCTAATTTACTAATTGACAACTCACATGCAAAATTTATTACTTCTACAGGAGTATTGATATTGAACAACATTAAAAGTTATCTGAAAAGCAACACAAATGTATAACTTCTAGAAATACAAAATGATAAATCGTGATGCCTTACCAAACATTCAACAAAAATTTCAATTAACTAACTACTGCCCCTAATAATCATTGCATAAATTTGCATTCCAATAGAGCTACATTCCACTATCGCATAGCCAAAGAAGTATGGATTGCGGACTATTTCTCTTTAAATAATCTGATAGAATTCCAATCTTCTGCCATGGTCTCCAGGATATAGTGTCTAAAGTAATCATCCATTGCGAAAACATAAATTTGTATTTGTACTTTTTCAGCACACTTCAGAAGCTTTTGAATAACATTCAAAGTATGTCAAATATCCAGATTTTGTTGCTGTGTATACATTTTTTGAAACTTCCGATATCTACTTAATATTTGCCATTCGTAGCAACATTTTAGACGGTGTCTCTTCATACCACTGTGGAGCTAAAGTTTTGTACACACTGTAGAGTAAAAGAGTTTGTGGATAAAAATTTTGCTTCTAACAAATTAAGTTTTAATTATCTATTGTGGATAAAAATTTTGCTTCTAACAAATTAAGTTTTAATTATCTATTAATTCATTAGTCGTTACTTTCTGGAAATCCATTATATTAGAGTTGTTAAGAATTATAAAGAGCATTTGGCCGCGTACAGAAATTGCAATCCTGATAAATCCTATTTTGCTAAATATCTCTTGGACACTGGACACAACCTAGCCAAAGAACATTTTTAGAGTCTAACATAAAGTCTAACATACTTGTAATAAAGGCCGACTATGTGTGCTGTACAGTTAGAGATTTAAAAAAAATGGTAACGTTGTACTGCTGAATTAACTGTTTTTAACTCACCTCTATTAAACATCTTTAAGTCTGCTCTCTAATAAAAGAAAGCCTCGCAATATGGTAGTTAATCAACCTCGCGGTGATCAGCGATTCGTTGCGTGGTTAGGGTAGGCGGACTATTCGCGGCGGTTTGTTGTATATTATTTTTACAGCAAACAGCTGCATATGTTATGTTGGTCATATGTTTTATCGTATGACGCGGCCGCTCGCTACTTTAATGGGGAGTGTTTCATCAGTGTTGTATAAATAGCAGCTATTTTGGCTTGCTGCTTACTTAGCGGTCAGCCACCGCAGAGTCTACATCACCTGAGGGTGCCTCGTGTAGAGGCGAAACACGTATCGTATTATCGTCGATGGTGTGTCTTTCCTAGTGTAGTGGTGTTGGGGGTAGTGCACGCAATTGCGGGAGGTGCTTTAAAGTAGGTAAGATACATTATTTTATTTTATTGAGCGGATGTGTGCTAAGTAATTCTTAACAACTTTAAATCAAATACTTTCTGATAAGCCATCACGATTATCATATAAAGGAAAAAATAACCAGTTAACTAAGAAAAACAACAACGGGTTACCGATATGTTCATTATAATTTCAAAATCATAATTTCAGACATTAAAACGTTCTATTTTTAAACTTCTCTCTACTCGTCTTAAAAATGGACATACTTAGATAATAACATTTGTAACTGCCTGTATTTTATAAATGATTTTTTTTAACTGAATATAATATAAAATTCATACATTTTTCCTTTTATTTAGGTACTCTTAGAGACGGAGAATGATAAAAGATCTTTTGAATTAAAAAAATAAACAGTAAAGTTCATAGTATAGGTTAGTGGTTGCGCGGAAAAAAGAAATCGGGTACTCTCACATTTTGTTCGGTCGGTTATTGTTTGCCAGTGTCTTTCCGTCCTATATCCACGCATTGCTTCCGCACGCACTGAAGAGGAGGGGACGATCCGAGGAATAGAACCCAAAAACCCCTATCCGATCTGGTCATTCGCTCTACCATTTTTCAGGTTCTTACGAACCGGATTAAAATCGGGGCAATTGGCCCCACCATTTTCTGGTTTTTACGAGCCGGATTAAAATCGGGGCAATTGGCCCCACCATTTTCTGGTTCTTCCGAGCCGGTTAAAAATCGGGGCAATTGGCCCTACTATTTTCTGGTTCTTACGAGCCGAATTAAAGTCGGAGCAACTGGCCCCACCATTTTCTGGTTCTTACGAGCCGGATTAAAATCGGGGCAATTGGCCCCACCATTTTCTTGTTCTTACGAGCCTACGAGTTCTACGAGTTAGAGTCGATATGTACGAATCGTTAGGTTTCATGGTCTTTTACATTTTTTTTAGAAAGTGTTTAAATGTGGTTATTAAAAAGGAATGTTTCCTTTGAGTGAAATTATATATCTTCAATATTTAATGAACTTTCCCTCCACGTCTCGCTTTTTCCACCATGTATATATTAATATCGTATACTGTGTACCGTACACCGTATCTATATTAATGTCTAGTCCAAGTTTACATTTCTAACAAATTTTGTGAAAGAATAATATTTTCCTCTAGGAAAAAATTGAAAGAAATACGTTCAATACAAAATTCGCGATACCGGATTTTGCCTGGAAACCGAATGTATTGACCCTTGCCCGAAACCCGCCTGACCTTTTTAGATCGATACAGGTATGTGTGTCAAAATGTGACAGTCGGGTGGAGAAGGGTTACCATTAAATAAGGGTTTGAAACGGATTATGACATAACCCATGTAAATTGTTTGACGTAGCAACTATGATAGTTTTGGACAGCTCGGTAGCGCACTAACCAAATATTTAAATAGTTAGATGCGCCTTCATCTTGAAAACATTATTTTTGAATATGTTCGTTTGCAAGACGCTGACGTGCTCACATTAATGCAATAGTGTCATCTCTTATTATCTTACACAAATTGTGTATACCACTTTCTCTGTCGCACAAATGAGCACTGATTGTGAATGAGTGGTCATACATTGGTAAGGGCTCATCTAACTATTTAAATCTTTGGCAGAACTGTGTGTTTGGTTTCAGCGCTGTGGTCCGCAGATGCGTGATAATTATTTGTGTGGATCATAAATTATTGTTCCGTATGTACCTAGTTGGTTTTCTATGTTACACGAACGTATAAAAACGCTGCCATGATGAACGATGAATTTCTGAATGTGTTTTTTAAATCAATTCAGAGTTAAAATTCTATAAAACAAAGCAAACAAACAAACAAAAAAGGATCACCGATTCTCTACACTCACCATACACTCACAGCAGCATTGAACTGCTATTTTACTTTATTCTTCGCTTTAAAGTTGCTTTATTAATTTATGTAATTATTATTAGAGACTTCATAAATTTGCCATGTAAGACTCTTATCAAGATTTTTCACAATTATTAAGAAATTGGGAAGAAATAGCATTTATATAATCTGAGCTCCAGCTATAGCTCTGGTTGTTTTTTTTTAATTCAAGTAATTTTTTTTGAATTTCAGGAAAATACAAACGTATGTAAACTAAAATCCGGCTGCTGAACGCGGCTTTCGTCAACGGATACTCCATAGTGACGTATCAGCGTGCGCTGACAAACTGAATTTGCCCATCTACACCAATGCCAGCCAGCTATATATGGGTGATTGGACCTGATTATCACTTGACGAAGTGTCTTATCATCATCACTACACCAAGGTACATAACAGCCGTTTTTATGATATATGAATGTTTAAGCATTTTGTCTCGAGCTGCTTGAAAACCCAGAATGAGCCTTTCATCCACTTCGGATCGATTAGGTTTCTCATCTAATTGTTTTACCATGGATTCAATTTTATCGAGCAAGAGATTGAATGATACAATGACTAGCGGTAATGTAACATATTTTTCTCCACCAAGTTTCGTTGATAGAAGTTTAAAGTTTATTAGAAACTTACGTATTTTTTCGAGTATTTGCCATTCACTATCTGTGATTTGAAAATCATTCAATTCGGTGACAGATGTGCACAATATGTTAATGCCAGTTCTCACTTTTAAACCAAATCCAATCATATCCTGTGTAGAATTCCATCTCGTTGGACAGTCGAGTATGGGGTTCAGATTTGATGGCACACCAGCTGCTTCACAAGCAGACTGAAAATTCCTCTTCAATATCTCACTTCTTTTTATTTCACTGGAAATACTGCGTAATTTTGTTATAGTAGTGAGTGATTTGCCGCATATTCTAGGTCTTAATTTTTGGTTCTTGTCCCTTATTGTCAGTTTCACTGTGTAATGCTAAGGTCTTTAATAAATCTTGTACACCAAGATTCAAAATGTGAGCAAAGCACCGGAAATGTTGATTGTCTGAATCAAAGTGTGGCAGCTGTTTGTCCAATTCATACATAAATTTGGTATTTGCAGTTGCGTTGTCGACCGTGATACCCTGTATTTTATCAATTATGTCATATTCCAATAAATATACGTGGAAAATCGTTTTCCCAGTATGTCGACCGCATGATGGTATAAAATCAAGGACTACAGATCGATACTTCCATTCGTTGTCTTTATAATGAATAGTGACCCCGTAGTAGCTCCTACCAGCAATTGACGTCCATCTATCAATGGTAAATGACATTTTAGATGAAAATTGTTGTAGTCGTTTCTTAAGATTCAATTGAAGCTCTTCAAACCGTTCTTTGACCTTCCTTCTAAGTGTGGATCTTTTAGGAAACACCATATTTGGGCAAGAACTATCAAAACATACAAACTTGAAGTTTGTAAGGTAAGTTCCTTTTATGGCATAGAGATCAGTTAAGAAACGGTTTTGAGAAAATCTATCCCTAAGGGAGTGAAATGGGCGTTGGAAGTTTGTATGAAAATCCTATGTTTTTGAAGTTAGAGACACGAAAATCGGCATTAAAGTTATAAGTTTTCAATAATAAAATCCTGGATAAGCTGTTTTACGAAATCCTAACCCTAAGGGGGGTGAAATTGGGGTAAAATGGTTACATGCAAGTCCTATATTTTTAAAGTATAGATATGAAGATCGACATTTACTTTATTAGTTTTAAATAATAAATACTTGCATAGTTAAGCTTTACCTACATAGCCTCTTTATACTTAGGTAAGACTTTTGCAGCGAGAAAATTTCAAAATCTCATAGGAAATCAGATATTGTACGCGGACGAAGTCGCAGGCAGCCGCTAGTTACATAATATATGTGTTATGTAATTGTGTGATAAGTATATTCTTTCTTACCTGTCCACTTTTCCCGTGGTTATTAAAAAGCTTGTGATATCTCCACTTAATTTTGGTTTTTCAGGAAGAAATATTAGTGATTCCTTTTTGTGGAAAGATATTAGATGTTTCATTAAGCCTGAAGTGTTTCTGTTTTTCATTTTTATTTCAACCTTTTTATGTTGGCATAATTTACACAAAGCAATTTGGGATGCATGAATTATGTCGAAAAACTCACCAAATTTACTTTTAGGT